TAGACTTTACAAACTTAAATAAGACATGCCCTAAAGATAGCTTCCCACTTCCAAGGATAGACCAACTTGTGGATTCCACCGCCGGACATGAACTCTTGAACTTCATGGATGCATACTCAGGGTATAACCAGATACCCATGTTCTGACCCGATGAGGAAGCTACATCATTTATCACAAACGCATACTCAGGGTATAACCAAATACCCATGTTCCGACTCGATGAGGAAGCTACATCATTTATCACAGACAGAGGATTGTACTGCTACAAGGTCATGCCCTTCAGATTGAAAAATGCTGGAGCAACATATTAGAGGCTGGTCAACATGATGTTTGCCGAACTCATTGGCAAAACCATGGAGGTCTACGTGAACGACATGCTAGTCAAAAGCCTTCAGGCCAACGAACACGTAAGTTACCTCAACCAAACCTTTCAGATACTTAGAAAATATAAAATGAAGTTGAATCCCCTCAAGTGCACCTTCAGAGTAGCTTCGGGTCAGTTTTTAGGATATATTGTAAACCAAAGAGGAATCGAAACAAACCAAGTAAAGATAATGGCCTTGCTTGAAATGAGGTCACCTCAGAAACCAAAGGAGGTCCAAAGCCTCAATGGTCAGATAGCCGCACTCAGTCACTTCATCTCCAGAGCTACAGATAAGAGCTTACTAATAAGTGTATTTTTGCACACTTATTTAGGTCACAAACATGACTTAAAAACGAGCAAAATGATTAAATTGTGAATTAATCTTGTACATTTGTGAATTGTAGGAAACAACGATGAACATGGTGAAATTCAGGAGAAAAGACGCGAAAAAGGACTAAAGTGATGCAAAGTGAAAGTTCAGGGACCAAAAGTGCAAATATCCAAAAGTTGATCCGATGAACAAATCGCGAAATCGATTAGGCCAATTACCAATTGACGATATCGTGGGGTGATGAAATGAAAAAAATGAAGAGAAGATGCTAAAAAATGAAGGATGCAATTGGGAGGACCAAAACACACTTATACCATAGTTGATAGTGCTATTCGACCGCATAGTACTATCCTCTATGCGGTCGCATAGTACCATACCGAAACCAAAGAGGCTTGACAAGTTTACTCTATGCGACCAATTCTATGCAGTCGCATAGAGAAAATATCGAGGAAAATTTTAGTTTCCTTTTTCTTCCGAAACTCTTATGGAAACAACAATTTTAGGGTCTTATAAATACAAAAACTCGACCAGAACAGGGAGGCACCATTTTTACATGTTTTTGGGAGATTTTGAAGGAGAAACGAGGAAGAGAACAAGAGAACAACATCGCGCCAAGTGAAGATCGGATTGAAGATTGATTCGGGAGATGTCGTTTCTTCAAATATTTTTAAGTTTTGTTCTTTTTAGCATGTTAGGCTAGACTTATCACTACTAGAAGATCGATGAACCTTGTAATACTACGTTTAATTATTGTTTTGGATTTTTGACGTATGTGAACGCAAATTACGGAATTGATTGATTTATTTAATTTTAATTTTCATATAATTATTGTGCACGTAATTATATGATTGTGGTGACCTGTTTTATGCATTCGAAATAAG